TTTTTTATATATATATATAAAAAATATATAAAAAATCTAACTACTAAAGGACAATATAATTTCTTTCTGCAGTACAGTATGCTAATCAACATACTGTACTGCAGATGTTTTCTTTTTAATTAGGGCAAAATTGTTACAAACAAGTGAAAATATTCTTAAAATGGAAAATATCTGATGCAATATGAAGTATAAATCTGTTTTTTTTTTCTTTACTACTTATATTAAATGTGTGGTGACACTTCTGGTTTTGTTTTGCTCATTCTGCGTCACTTTGCTGTGTATTTTGTATTTACCTGTTGTTATGTCTTGTATATTCTTCTTGATCCTGTAAAGCACTTTGATCTTCTGCACATTGGTTATGTAAAGCACTACATAAATAAATTATTGATTGATTGTTAATCTTTTTTTTATTTCCTTTATAGCCTCATAGTAAACAGGAACACAACTATTCTGCAACCGTTACTCTCATTTAACCAGAATCAGTTTTTAATTTATTTATTAAACATGTCTAAATACACCAAAATTTGATCCAAAATGTGATCTTATTTTATAGCCAACTTTGAGCTTCCAAAAATTTGCAACTTGAATTTCTTTTTAATAAAGCACACATGCAAATTCCTTTTCACTTTTTGTGACACAGTTTACACGCTCCATTTTTTTTTTTTGTGCAAAAAAATCTAACTACTAAAGGACAATATAATTTCTTTAGGATTGTAAATTGGTTTAAAAATTATCATTTTCCTTGATAATAATTCTGACTGACAGTTTTGGTCAAAGTGATGAAATCTCTGCTGTTTTGTGCACATCTAGGCTCTTTGATCATAAAAGACAGTCTTGTTGCTCTGGGTCTAGGTTGAGTTCTGCGATTATCTCTGCATGGGGCCATTCACATCAAGCTTTGATGATGAGACTATTAAGTGACCAGCAGACCTAAACTGGAGGGGAAGAGAACTTAGCCATAAAAATGGGTTTCTATGGAAACACTCCAAAGGCGAGGCTCATTCTGCCTGATTTTTTTCCTGCACATTTTCAATAATTGATGTGTTTTGTCAATCTGATCCACTCGTGCATTTTGTATTGAATTCTCTGCAAATCCTCTCGAGTTCATTATCTCCCCGGTAATTTATTTATCATTCTGCTCCGCTTCTTCATCCATCCAGGTAGATGTCATTCACAGACGGCTGCATAAGGACATCCTCCACAACCCCGTGGTCATGTTGAACTTTTGTCCCGACCTCAAATCCATCTGCTCAGACCTGAGGAAAGTTCACGGTGAATTCATCTTCCTTATTGACCGAAGCGGCAGCATGAGCGGACTCAACATCCATCGTGTGAAGGTGTTATTACCTCAGCTTGACGTTTCGTCTTGTTTTATTAGCTGCTATTATTTACAGATAAATACTTCCTGTGTCTCTGGCTGTGATTTATCAAGGTTTATTTTGTTCAATTATGTTATCAACACATCATTTATTTTTAAAAGCAGCTTAACTGAAGGCTAATTTTAGGCTTAAAGGGGGATTTTAGTTTTGTACAACTGTGGTCTGTGGATATTATACCGTTCATTCATCCGTCCATCCCTCCAGTTTGTTAGCAGGTTCTGTTAGGTTGCATCATGTTTAATGAATATTCTCAGCCAAACTCGAGGAATTCTGCAACTTTTATTTATTTGTGTGGTTTCTTTAAACATTTATGTTATTTGACAGGTGATGCCATCTGCAATTTTTTTTTTGTTTTAACAAACTCACATTTGATCTTTTATTGGATCTGCCAGACACCACACTGTCTGAGTGGGTTTGACAGAGACATAATGACAATTTTACACAAATCTTTTAAAAGATCCTTAAGAAAAACTGGAACCTTCCTCTTTGAAACTCTTTTTCTTTCCTTTTCTAAATGCAATTGAATTCTGAGTCGTATTCATGTTCGAATCAGTGCAGCCTTGGCGCTGCTCACCTGAATGAAAGTGGCGCTAAGTGGTATTATTTCAGAAACTGCCCTTGAGCTGGTGAAGAGGCAGTGATTGGTGAAATGACAAGGTGTGATGCTGCTCACTTATCAGTGCAACATTCGCAGATGAGTGATGACAGCTTTTAGTTTTAAAATCCAAATTGGCTCTCGATTTTCTCTTCCAGGATGCCATGGTGGTTATCCTGAAGAGTTTGGTGCCTGGCTGCCTTTTCAACATCGTTGGATTTGGATCCATGTTCAAATCTCTCTTCACAACCAGCCAGAACTACGAGGAGGTAAAAGTACACAATGCAGGCATGTACTGCAATTACCTGAAACAAAGTTGTGGTTCAGCAATTCAGGAGTAAACGGTTTGTTAGAGTATTTTAAAATGTATTCATAACAGAGGAGATATGAATAATAACAGATAAAAACCTTGATAATGACAACCGGTCTTTTTTGAGAATTTAAAGAAGAGTACAGTTTGGGGCTAAATTAAATAACTCAGTAGAAGGTTAAACATTTTTCTGATGTAGATTCTCAATAGAAGACTTTCTCATAGTTGGAGTCAATTGCTTCCAATCTGTGTTATCGGCATGAATTTACCCAGGAGACTTTTGTTTCTTTAATCCCACTGACACAAATCCAGTCTGCAGAGAAGAGAGCAGATCAATGGCATTAACATCAGTGCTAAGATCTAAATCAACAAGTGCAAACTGTTTGTCTTTTAGCTTGGAGGTCTGTATGCTAACATAGTTTTTGTTACAATGGGTGAAATGCTAGACTCAGGACTGAAGCTCAAGTATGACAGCAGTTTATGTAGGAGGGATTTTGCACTTTTTCATACAAAATAAACACCTTTTAATTAGAGTTGTAGTGCTGATGGCTTATTTCTCTGATAAAATGTGTGTTGAGAGGTTGATGAATTTATGTTAGCAAGTTAATTCTCTTGGTTTTTATTTTAGTAATAGTGACCATGAATCAGACTATTTATATTTGCAAACCGACATGCTGACTTTCATGGACATTTTTCAGTGTTCAAAATATTGTTAGCTATAAAAGATGGATGACTGGTATTCCTGTGTGACCCAAGCAAAGACTGTAGGTGGCCAATATTTTTCAACAGGAGGGCATGGCACCTCCTGCCCCCCACTTGGGGGCGCCACTGTATGGTTCCACATTTTGGTTTATTAAAGTTTATTAAATATACTACTTCTGCAGCTAAAATTAACAATTTTTTAATAATAACAGTGATAGTAATAACAATCATCATTATTATCACTGCATCTAAGTACATTATTTTATTTTATTTAGCATTTTTCAACTTTTTTTATTTCCAGTTTATTCCTGATGATCATTTTATTTTATTTACCATATCAAACACACATACCGTACTGTGCATAGTTAATATGTAATATTTTTTAACATTTTGTTTCTCTTTTAGTCTGCTTATCTATTCTTGTTAGTTTTGTTTATCACACAATACAGGAGGGAAAAAATTACAAAACATCAGAAACATGCCTGTTACATAAACAATGAACATGCTTTACATGTTTATTTCTTCATGACATCAGTTCCTCTATTCTACTTTAGTGTGTTTTACACTCATAACTTTTAATCATTAATAATTTGGTGTTTTTATTTCAGCTAATTGAAGAAGTGTATCTAAGGGAATAGAGGTGTTTCTGTTTCGTGTTCTTTGTGAAAATAGGATTCCGTGTTTCACTAACTCCTACTCATCCTCATGATCCAGGAGGCCCTGGCGCAGGCTTGTGATTACATCAGGAAGATGAGAGCCGACATGGGGGGCACCAACATGCTGGCGCCGCTCACCTGGATTGTGAGGCAGCCCACGTTCAGCGGTCACCCCAGGCTGCTTTTTCTGCTCACAGATGGAGCCGTCAGCAACACAGGCAAGGTTATTGAGCTGGTCCGCAGCCACGCACGATATATCAGGCAAGTATCAATGTCAACACATCTTTTTTTGTGACTCAGATCAATAAGTTATGCTGTTGGAAATGTTGTCAATATTGTGTAGCGTCAGGCTTTCTTGTTAAAGCTGTCTTGGGCTGTAGAAACCTTGATGTTTGATCAAAAATGTGCTTCACACCTTCACACATCTTTGTACTTTCACACATTTTTTCTCATTACAGCTACAAACTTCAACCTGTTTCTTTTGGGATCTTACACAAAGGACAAAGCAGTGGGTAGTCGTATAATAAGAAAGAAAGACGGAAAATGATAAATGACTGTCAAAATTTAAGTGTAGCCACAGCATAATGCTGCCACTACCTTGTTTAACTTTTTTGAAATCCTGTTAGCTACAGAATTATGTAGTAACTAGTTAAATTTCTCTGAGTAACTTTTTGGAAAAATATACTTTTAGGACTACTTTCACTATACTTTACTTTTTTCTTTTAGTTGAATTATTTTGGTATGAAGTATTGGTAATCTTACTTGAGGAAAATTTCTGGATTCTCTACCCACTGTAAATAACTTCACTGAATGAAGAACAAACAAACTTATTTAGACCAAAACTTCACACCAGACACACACCCAGACTACATATCAATGGTTTTTGTTAAAGTTTCATAAGTTTTGGTTTTTAATCTTCATAATGCAGTTTGCTCACTAATGTTCTCTGAAAAACCTTTTAGATCTTCACAGAATAGCAAAAATTATACTTGGACTAAAAAAATAAGCCCTGTTTAGTATGTCTGAAGGCAGTTGATTCCAGGGGATTTTATTTAGAGGTTTCAGAATAGATGGGGCAAAGCACAAAAACATACTTTTCCAATGTTTCAACTCTCAAAAAGTGTCAAAAACCATGTGTTGTTTATATACATTAAAATTATATGTTATTACTTAATATCCTCATAAAATATATTGATGTCTTAGTTGTAATGTGACAAAATCTGAATAAGTTAAAGGGGTGTGAATACTTTTGCAAGTTACTAGTTCCTCGATTTTGTAATGCTATTTAAAAACGTAGAGCTGAGGCAGATTTAAATTAATTAACACATCATCTTCTAATGCTCCACAAGACAAATCCACGGCTTATTCACAAAATAAAATCACTAGTGTGGGTTTATCTTGGTGTTGAAATATAAACCAGGCCACAATGGTGTAATCCTTTTAAAATGAAATGTGGGAACATGGAGCCCGTTTTACCTCTTTTAAGCATCCGACATCACAAATCTGTCCTGGAGGAAACATCTGTGCAGCTTTCAGGCACAACAAAGCTGCACGAATGCTAGAATGAAGGAATAAGAAACCAGCATGTGAGCTCCATCTGTCAACTTGCAGGGAGCGCTGATGACACAACAAATCTGCAGCGCTCCAGGAAGTCGTTTTATTTTGCCGCTTGCATTTAAGACTCACGCTGTGAAATCCCCGTCCAGAGTCGTTTTCTGGAAATAATTGACTTTTGTCGTCCCCTTTTAATGGATGACTGCCCCTGGATAATTGCATTAGGTGCGGAAAGCTCGGCCAACTCATCAACACTTCCCGGGTCATTATCGCTCTATGCTTACAAATCAGCACAGCCACTCAGAGACCAGATCAAACAAGGATGAATCTCCAAAAGACTCAAGTCAGGATCTTAACCGCATGGAAAGCGACACACTTGCTCTAATCAGCAAATGCTTTATGTCATTAAAAATTCAAAAGGAGAGTGTTGGTGCAATGCAATTAGCTGACCCATCCATTTTTGAGATATTGACTGTGTTATGCAACAAAAAACATATTTCACTCAACTGTAAGAGCTGGGAGGAGCTTTATTTCTGATGAAAGATGAAATTATGCTTTGAACTCCAAATCTTTGCAGAAACATCCATACTCCTTAGGCATATTCACAAGTGGAAGTGAGAATAATACAAAATGTATTTTCCATTTTTAGCAAATAAAAATAAAAGAAAAGTGGAGTCTGCATTTATTTACTCAGACAATTCTCATCTCCCTTCACTGATCTGTAAGGAATTTCTCGCGTTGGCCTGGATTGATTTTCTACCAGACCAATCTGCAAAAAGAAGATATTGTGAACGATAATCACTTTTCTTTTTGGCGCTGTTTTATGATTGCAATTTGTTTGTAGCTTTAGCAATGGCAATGGAGGAAGTGAACAAAGTCGTTCAGTCCTGACGCTTCCAAACATTGAATTAATATGAACAACTATCTTTTTTAGCTCAGCACTTCTTTGTAGTGGAGGATAGTAGCTTCATAGCGTTGAACTGACACATTGCATATGTCACAGACACACAGACAAACATTAGGTAAAGTTTAAAACTTCAACTGAGTCCATGCCTCCAGGAAACAATCACTTCTCAATAGCCGAGAAAAAAATCTGTTCAAAATAAACAGCGTAGAACAAAGGGCTGGTTTTTACCAGGCTAATTTCCATCTGTATTTGTAGTGACTATTTTGGAGTTTTATTTGTTGGGAAGTTTGGAAACTATGTATTTTGTCCGTCTTTATGGTCCACCCCATATAAAACATCAAGGTTTTTGGTAGTAATGTGGCAAAATCTGGAAAACCTCAAGAAGATATTTTTCCAACACTCTGTGAGCATTGTGTCTTTCACTTTTGATGGAAATGTGCACCCATCCTGTGAACACATCTGTTGCTATGCTGAAAAATCTCCTGATCTGTCCTTGAAGGTGCTGCCTTTAATGTTTCTGTGCAGATGTTTCACATTCGGCATTGGACAAAATGCGTGCCGGAGGCTGGTGCAGGGGTTGGCGGCTGTTTCCAAAGGAACAGCTGAATTCCTGGCTGATGGAGAGAGGCTGCAGCCCAAGGTACTCATTTCCAGCCTGGAGTGTCACTCATAATGACATCTATAGTTATTCTGAAGGCCACCGGATAGCCATTATGCAGCCATTTCAATACATCAAGTGCCTGCCATTGATACCCATTAAGACATCATGTGTGAGACACCACCCCCTCTGTGAAACTATCAGAAAGAAGCTGTGTTATTTCTATGTTTTTACTCCACAGATGATAAAGTCGCTGAAGAAAACCATGTCCCCGGTACTCAGTGACATTTCCATCGAATGGCTCTTTCCTGAAACCAAAGAGGTGCTGCTCTCCCCTGTTGGCAACACCTTCCTCTTTCCAGGAGACAGTCTGATTGGCTACAGTGTGGTGTGCGACACTACCCGTTACCATGACAACCCCAAATCTGTAAGACACCTGTTGAAGGGTAACGATTAGGTTAATGCACCAGTGGGTCAGAGAAGAAACCTTTTCAGGTTGACAAACTGTCTTGTAAAATTGCTGTTACTACAAAACAGTTTGAAGGTAAATCCCGAGTGGAAGTCCTTGACAAATATTTTCTGAATGGAAAAATAAATAAATGAAGGCTTGTGAATTGCTTGATCAAATAAGCTAAAAACCACTCAACGGGATGAGTCACCTGCTTCACATCTCAACAGGATAAAAGGAGGCGATACAGCATGATGCGCTCCATTGAGTCAGCCAGCTCGGTGTTTTACCACTCACAAGAGGAGGAGGCGGGGAAGACGGGAGTGGACAGTCAGGGGTCCCACCGGGAAGCACCCTGTGGCACGCTGCATGACTCCTACCAGGACGCCATGGCAGAGAGTGGCCTTGTCATCACAGAGCCAGACCTCACAGGTAAGAACTGCACAAGCGGATTTCCTTTGTTTTTATCACAAAGTGCAGGAATTTTTACTTTAAACAATAGTTTACTCATGGTCAGAGCTAGGCAGAGTACCCCCAAAAAATCACACTCAAATAAAAGTAGCACTACTTCAACATATTTTTACTCCAAAAGTTAAAAGTGGCCATCCAAGAAATTACTCAAGAGTGAAAAAGTATTTGGTAAAATGTCTACTCAAGTACTGAATAGACATGAGACATAAGACATGCACTCTTTATATACAATTCTGTTAAAGTCCAAATTAAGTGAGTTGTATTGATATATATCAATACAAATTGATCAAATAAGCTATAAATGACTGAACGGGACCCCGCCTCTCGCCTGGAACGTTAGCTGGAGATAGGCACCAGCACCCCTCCCGACCCCACTGAGGGACAAGGGTGTTCAGAAAATGGATGGATGGATGACTGAACGGGTTGAGTCACCTGCTTCACATCTTAATAGGTTAAAAGTATTTATATTTTTATGAATATAAATAATATTCAAGTATGAACTTGTAGTCAATTTCTTTGGGACCCTACCATGCATAAACTTATACCTGCTTATGTATGAGACTATGTATTAATTAAAATAGCCTGTAGACTTAATTATTATTGGTACATAAGTGTAACATTGATTTCTAATGTAGTGACTGTACATTTTTTGAACTTAGATGACACATCACCAAGGAGACGTGCATACAGCACAAACCAGCTCATGGACTACAACCCAGCAAAGAAATCATTCACTCCCAGTGACCCCAACTCTGTGGTGCCCAAGAATCCCCTGAGGAGGAGCAAAGTCCAGGACCTGACAGGCCAGATGAGCCCCGAGCAGGAAATGCACTGGAAGAACGACTGCCAGGTATGACCTGTCGCTGAAAACTACCGCTAAAACAGGTCAACCGTTTTCCCTACATCTGATAAGTGTGTGCTGCTTGCTTAAAGTCCCTGCAACCGACACACAAAATAAAGTGCTAGCATGTAATTAAAGCAGCAGATTGTGGATTTATCTAATGATGGAGTCGTCATACTGTCAAGTAGAAAATGATATTTGAATTCAGAAAGCTTTGGCAGCTAAGGGAGCTGCCTGACCTCTGTCTGGATTGGAGTATAATCAAGAAGAGACTAACGTGTCCTTCTCAGTAATTAAGGGCAAAATTAATGAATCACAATTAGGTTTGAATAACTCAGGAAGCAAGTTGCCATGACTAAACAGAATTAACAGGAGGAAGCGTGTCTGCTCCAGGTAAATCCCATTGAAGAATCCTGTCTTAATCAGACCTAATGAATAGGTATAGCAAATCTTTATTTGAATTGAAGGAGGTCATGAGACATGGAAACCTTGGGGCATTTGAACTTCTCAGCAGGATAAACAATCCGTCTGTCAGACTGCCTCCATTTATCTGTCTAGTTTGTGTTTTGGCACACAGCGAGCCTCTGCTCTGTGTTTATAATCAGAAAATACTGTGCTGACATATTCACGTTCTGCATTTTGTCATGTTGCAATCGCATCATTCGGTGTGTTTTATTGGGCTTTTATATGGTAAACAATAAAAGAAATGGTGCATAATTTTCAGATACTGAAAATAGTCTTGTTCTTAAGATCTTATTAATATTTTAAATAAGCTTTTATTGTTTTTATAAACTAAAGTTTGTGCTTGTAAATTCAAATTATATGAATACTTGAGCAAGTCTCTGTGAATTTCTAATTTCGGGCGTCAGGCTATTGGCATTTGTTTTTCTTTAATTAAAAATTACCAGGAGAGTCTCCCTCTCAAACATCCCTTGATACGATCAAAAAGAGCTTGTTTGAGCTCACAGAAATGATCAGAATAATAATGGGCCGATGCTGTATCTCGCTTTATCGACCCAATAATGGCACCTGGGTTTTCTGGTGTTAGCCACAGCTGGCTGGTCTGGGCGCCCCGTCCTTCAGAGGACGACCTGGCACCAGTCACAAGCCGCCTCCGCAGCAGGAGGATGACTCTGAGCTTCATCCCCAACCCCAGCCACAGGATGGCCCTCTGCCAAGCGACAGCACCGGGGTGCCTGTGGCTCGCAACCCTGCTGGCGATGATGGGTCCAGATCGTCCACAGACAGCCCCTCCGTTGGCAGCATTGGAGACACAGGTGAGAACACAAAGACAGCCTTTCTGGATTAATGGGAAATGTTTTCTTTATGTCAGACAATGTGTCAGAAACATGTTTGCTTGTTAAGTCTGTCATTTTAGGACAGAATTTATACTTATTTCTATTAAAAGCCCAAAGTTTAGTACTTTTAAGTAACTTTAAATGTGAAGAGGATGAAAGAAAAAAACTGAATTTTGCACAGTTCACCAAAGTGTTGAATCCAAAGCTCTTCGGTAAATTTGCAGATTAAAATTTCCCATAAATGGGACATATATATATATATATATATATATACAGAGCCCCAAGTAAAAGGGGTTTGTGTTGCCAATGCCTGAATAAAGTTACGTTAAGTAAACTTTGTCAAAATTCCACTAATGTAGAAAAAACACAATTTTGCAATTGTGTTATTTCCACTAAATAAGAAATGCAGTTAAAATAACATATAAATAACCTTGGGCCACTGTTTGTTTTTTCTGCCATCTTTCAAAACCACAGGATTTCTTTTGATATATATATTTTAGGTGGCACAAGAAAGTTTGAGCACTTCATAAATAAAATATTGTATTTTAGGTAGCTTATCCCTAAATCTGCTTTTATGCATTAAACTGTTACTCCTCTGATATTTCAGATGGATATGGCCACCAGATGTGTCAAGCAGAAACCCCTCAAGAGACCCACATGTCACATCTGGGGACCACCAGCCATCACAAAGGAGACTGCAAAGCAGTGGTGTCGGGATTGCTGTGTGGGCAACCCATGAAGTGGGAGGTGGTCTTTGACATCGAGCCGTTTCTAAGTGGCCGGGAACGTGAGGAAAAGGTTCACGAGGAGCTGTGGAACGAGACGTTTCACCACCTGGCCGGGAGCTCCATCATACACGACTTTGAGCACATGGCCGATAAAGAGTCCGAGATAGAACAAGGTGAGCTTAGAAACTCGACTGACACAACTGGAAAAAAACTTAAAAATGTCAAAGGATGAGGTTTTCAAATTCTATTAATTATTCTATTGTGCATATTTTGTACAATTCATTAAAGAAGTCATGACATATAATATTACTTAATACATCATGGTTTTTGTATTGTATGCTTTTTTTAAATTTCCAGGTTCTGGCAGGAAGTACCAGGTTTACGTTATTCACACTAGCAAAGCCTGCAATATACTGAGCAAATACACAGCATTTGTTCCCATTGACCTGGACACCAATGAGTATTTGCCAACATGTGTTGAATGCATTAATGCTGGTGAGTTACATGGCTCTAATTCTCCTGACTGAAGTCCCCCCCTCCCACTTTCTTCAAATTAAATGAAGCTGGTCTCAAACATTTGTGCTGCGTTTGTGCAGCAAGAATTTAGTTTGTGTCGCTATCATTTTAAAGATACTCATAAATGTTTCCAGAGGTCATGAAAGGTCAACCAAAATCAACAACTGTGTTGTATTTGTGATGGTTTGTCCAACAAACATTTAGTTTTATGACGTTATAATCTTTAAAATTTCCTAGAAAAGGTTTCCAGAGATCAACCCGGCTCCAGAACAGTCAATTGACACCAAATTTATTTGATTTTGTAAATATGGGATTGGTTGAGGTTTAGTTGTACATTTTCCTGAGTTTTAACTGTGAAAATCAGTTTGAAAAAAAAAAAAACCCACATCTGCTATCTTGTTCGCACTCTGCAGAGCCAAGCAAAGTTGAAATGACTTCCGTTTGTCTTGAAGGTGCAAGACTGAAGAGGGGCTCCAGGTCTCGATCAGGGAGCAGGAAGAACAGAGGGTACTCCATCGGGCTCGGGCGTTCTCAGTCCGGCGGCATGTCAGAGGAAGCCGAAGACGTCCTCCTGCCTTACAGTACGTGGCGTCATTTATTTTTCAAGGCTTTGTGATGAAGCATGCACATCACCATGAAAGTGGCCTCAACAAATCCTTTTTAGTATGAAATGTCAAGCAGGGCAAGATTCTAATAATAACACCAATTTAAACTGTAGCTTTTTGGCTAATTAATCCAATGTGAGACTTGATGGAGATGGAGTCGTCAATAAAATGCCTGACAAGGAGAGATTGATTGTTGATTTCCAATTTGAGTGTAACAAACATTTTGTTTTCTGAGTTTAAAATATGTATTAAAACACTAAAATCTACCTCTACAGTATTAAAAACCTGTTTCAATCTATACATTTGATCTACACATAACTGTAACATCAGCATACAAATGAAAATTTGCATTGAAAAAAAAAAAAATTCCTTTTGACAAAATGACTTAGGCCATTATCTTAGGAAGGTGACACTTTTAAAACCATGCATCATTTCCTTTCCACTTCGGAATTATAAACTATTTTTTCTTGATCCTTCATGTAAAAATGTAAGTATGTAACATATATGTGAAAACATGACTAAGTTTGAAAGCAACTGTATTTGTTTATGTCAATTTAAACCTACTTTCACGTAAAACTGCAAAGAGCTTTCAGATATATGGGTTTCTCAGAGAACTTTGTGAGCTGTTTTATAAATAACTTCAGCAGCAGGACACAACATTTTTAAAAGGATCCTCAGTGATGGCATAGCAACAGCACGAGCTAATGTGGGCAGGAGCTGCTCAAGCATATGCTGGTTTAAAAAATAAAAACAGATGGCTTGGATATGGAGGAGCTTTAAGATTTTAATGATTCAAACCAAAATGTTGGAAAGCTGACAATTAAATGAAAGATATTGTTTCATTTCTTGTTTACGAGATCGTTTTTGTCTCGTCTGACTTTGAAATTCCAATTTTCCGTCTAAGTAGCAAGCAAACTGAGTGAATGGTTTCAAACTGAGGCCATATCAAACAAAGTGACAGGCTTATTCGATGCTGGAGTTTTTGTAAATAAACTAAGAAAAAAAAGGATTCTTCTGTAATGGTCCTTTAGAAAATGACTTTAATTCTTGTTTCAGATGCAGAGGACGGCGTCTCTCCATGCAGCACCCCCTCCTCCGCCGGCTGGGACAAATGCAGCTTCACAGAGGGTAAGCACATCAGCCGTTCTGCAAATTTGTTGCAATTCCTCAATTTCCCCCCACTAAGACCTTTGACATGCAACATCTGAGTGGATGTTGCCATTTCCAGCCTCACACAGCAGCATTTTCTACCAAATGTGAAAGTGTAAATCACTGACATTACAGTTCCTACTCTTGTAGAGGTTAACAGAGGTTGGCAGTTTTTATCTCGGCTCAAACTGACGATGTGTAATATGAGAATCCACTGAAGGCGCAAATACAAACAAGACATGTTTCACCTGGAGAGGACAGAGATGCTGGAGTGTGTTGAATGTTTTCTGTCATCACTGTTACATCTCACTGTGCCGTAGTTCTGTTAATTACCAGATGGTGAAAGATGATTTCTTTTCTGGCTGCCTCTTTGTCTCCAAGTCGCCCCACAAAGGAGTCCGTCTGTTACTTCAGACCAATCACAGAAATCGGTGGAGAGTCTTTTTTCTGCCAGGTATGTGATTAAAGTTCAGCTGGTGTTTAAATGTACTGTAGCTGCATTCAGTAAAAAAACACCAGTGATCAAATATTTCAATTTGACATTTCAAAACATACATTTGCATAATTTTGAAATGTTTTGGTGCAAGAATGAGGTGGTTTTCTGGCCACATCAAAGTTGGTTTATTTTTTCCTTCACACGAGTCACATGATCAACAACCAGACCACAAAGAAGACAGGAAGTAGTTGGAGGATAATGGCACAGCATCTTTTTTAATGTCTTATCGCATGAACAAACTTATTCACCTGTGATTTTAATCCTGTTTTTTATTTAATAGGAGTGTCTCAAATTGTGTTTTATCAACATTGGTGGAATATCGATATAGTTTTCCACATATTTATGATGAAATGGAGCCATTGACAGACCAGAAAATGCTCTAAATTTGTATTTGGACATGTAAGACATGCTCTCAAAGTATCCAGGAAATATTTTATCCATCACCAGTTGTTCTATATAATAGAAAATTATTATAATCATTCAACAAATATGACATTCTGCTGCTTCCAGCAATGCTTTTTCAGACATTTCAGAAAACATGATTATCTGCAGGAAATACCACTTTGATAGTGATGTATAAAGTTTTGCATTGTAAGATTTTACTTCTAACAAGACAAAAACATATTTTTTTTATCTTTTAAAGTAAACTTGATCTGCAGCTCTCCAGGTAAGAAGAAAATAAGTCGGTATTGAAACCACTAGCTGTGGTTGTTAGGTTCTCTATTTCCTTCAACGTTCTTCCATAGATTTTTTCAGCCACACATAAAACATACCTTAAAATGTTCGAAAAAGAAAACACAATTTGGTTGCATTTAATTTGAGATTTCAAAAAAATATAAAATATAACAGTATGCAGAGAGAAACGGCTCCCAAAAAGCTGGTGTCTGATCAGCTGAAAGTTCAACACATGTTTGTTAAAAACATAATGTTTCCATATAATTAGCATAAAATACTGTGGAACTATGGTATAGTTTTCTTATTTTCCTCAAATGTAAATTTAGGAAGAAAAATAGAAAGAAATATTATGACTTTATGACAGGTTTCTATGGCAACAAAGTATATACCAATCATTTTAAAATACTTATTTTTCCTTTTTTTTAATGCAGGAATGATTTATATACAAGTAAAAATACAGCCGAAAATTAACTGCGAAACTTTGAATTACAAAAGATAAATTCTTCAAAACAGATAAACTCTTGCATTATTATTGTACAAATATATTCAATCTTTGCATTTTTCTTGTTTACCTTTCCTCTGGGTCCTTATATGAAAAAGATAGATAACTCAGAGAAATATTCAGAGCAAGCATCTGTATGCACGCACAGTGTTTGCTGCGCTTTACCTCTCCTCCGTCAGGCTGGCCCTCAGCAGGACTCGCCTCCTGACCCGAGCTGCAAAAGGATTCATGTGTCGAACGCACAGCAAGTCTGGCGATTCAATCGGAGAAAGTGAAAACGAGAACAAAGACTACATTCCCCTGGTGAGCCCCAGATCTATTCCGTTTATTTCAACATGCAGGTTGTCACTGATATGAATTAATGGCAGAAAATGTGAGCAGTTGTTGAATGATGAGGTGTACAGCATCTCTCCAAATCTATTCAAACCTTTGATTTGCAATGTGCATCAACTGTAAAAGGAAACATTATTCAATTTAGACAATCACTATTTCTTATTGGTGTAGACTCTGACATGAGCCAAACGGCTCATGAAAAACAAAAGAATTTTTGCTCTATTTCAGTGTATCCCAACTGTGGTCTTCAACGCACATTGACTTGCATGTTTTGGATGTTCCCCTGCTTCAACACAACCCATGCAGATGATTGCAATTCAACAAAGACCTTGTTAATCAGCCATCAATTAAAATCATGTGTGCTGAAGTGGGGGCATGCCGAAAACTAGCAGGGCAGCGTGCCTTGAGGCCCAGTGTTGAAAAACATTTAACTAAAGTCACTTTATTCAGTTCCTTCAGGAAATTGTGATATTTGTGATTATTGTGGCCTAAAATTATTGAATTTGCAACGTCTTTTTCAAAATGTTGCCATCAGTGTTGTAAACCTTTTTTAGTTTTATTTTTGCCATAACATTGTATTATAAAAAAAAGTTGAAATTGCTGCACATAACTTTACCTAAAAAGACAGGATTTTAACATTTAAAGTGCAAATGACATTTTTAAGTAGTTTCTTGAAGTGGCACCCTATGCAAATAAAATCATATCCTGAGGATTGTCAAAATGCAAAAGAAGAATTCTGTCTTTGTCATTAATGTTAACATTAACTGTTTATGCAATATAAGAAAATTCAACAGAACATCTCAAATGGTTATTGGAAAAGTTAAAAAGAAAAAAGAAAATGTTACGTTTAGTGGGTCACCCGTTTTAATCTTGCATGTTTGCTTTTCAAAAGATGGTGTAGAAAAGGAAGTTAAATTAGAAGGGGGCTAAGGGAATTGGTCAAGATTCAACAAGTTGCAGTGATAAGAAAAAGAAAGGCATACAGAAAACTTCTGTGGAAAAGCTGGACTAAAAGTTGCAATCGTAACATCACTACTTCCTGGAGGGACTCAGTACAGAGGGCGTAGGGGTTACATTTTCGTTTCCAACTGTTGATAAATTTCCTTTAGACTTTATTTTAATCAGTGCAGAAAATATAAATAATTTAGCTTTTAGTGTGGCATTGTGGGCAATGTTAATATTGTATGCATTCTACATGCACTCCTCAAACAGAGACCTTGACTGATGCTTTAATCATGCAACACATGCTGGCCAATTCATTGCTATACACATTTAATGGAAACAAAAAACACATTTTGAGAGTAAAGAGACTTTTTCCTCCATAACAACGCGGAAGCCTTTAATAAGGGGCTGATTCGAGCTGTAAACGACCATTGTTATTGGAATATATAAAACTGTGCAGACGAGGAGCGTGCATGCAAATCAGGAGCTCAGGTGCACCCTCTCCTCTTGTGTTATTGAAGTTTCGCTTGAAAGCAAATATAATTGGGAGATGATTTGTAGTGTAAATACGATACACCACTTGAAATTTTCCTCTAGAAGGACTAACAATAGAGAATAATTTCACTCCCCTCTGTGCAGTTGTTGTTGCAGTTGGCGAGCGGCGCATTTCCCCTGGACTCAGCTCTCTGTGAAGCCATTAACGTGCCGATGGACAAGCTGAAGTGGACGTCGCCTTTCGCCAGCCACCGCTCCAGCCTGGGCCACCTGTCTCACTCCGGCAGCCGGCGCACTGACAGCACCGACGACGGGTCCAGATCGCCATTTGAGCCAGACCCTTATCAGCCGGCAGCAGATCACTCTGCTGGCACCAACAGTCCCTCCTATCCATCCAGAAACGCCTGGCCGGACGCGGGCCAGTCCACCGCCTTTGAACCCCAGTTTTTCTCAGGGGGCTCAGAAACGGCGTCACCTGGCAGCGTGATGAAGAGGATGCAGGATCCGGAGAGCATGGTATGGGCAACGGCCGTCGCTCTGGCCTGGCTGGAGCACAGCTCTGCCAGTTATTTCACAGAATGGGAGCTGGTGGCGGCCAAAGCCAGCATGTGGCTGAATGCGCAGGACATCCCAGAGGGGAAAGATTTAGCCTCCATCAAGGCTGCTGCCAATCAGCTCTTCATCATCCTCAGACACTGGGATGAAAACCTGCAGCTGAACATGCTCTGCTACAACCCCGGCTCGGTCTGAGGCCTTAAACAGACTCCATAACAGATGATACTATGCTAACCAAGGCTGTACCACCACAGTGACGTTGCAAAAGTATTCATATCCCTTAAACTTTTCTTTTTTATTTCACAACAGCCTTAGTTGTTTTATCTTACCATCTTGCATGACAGACCAACACAAAATTCTGCTTTGTTCTGAAGAGGAAGGAAAATGCTACATGACTTTCAAATTTGTTATGATAAAAAAATCTGAAAAGTGAAATCTGTATTAGTGTTCAGCCCCCTTTACTCTGATACTTCCAAGTAAAATTCAGTCCAACAAATTACAAAGTATTAGTAAATACAGCCCAACTTTGTGTCATTTCAGTAAAAATCCAAAATATGTCACAGGTTTGTGAGAGTAGCAAGAGGAAAATTACTCAGATGCAACTCTGGAGGAGCTGCAGAGATCCAGGTGGGAGAAACATCTGATAGGACTTACACAAATCTGGCCTTTACGGAAACGAAGCGAGAAGATTGTACATTCTGAAAGAAAGCTATAATTAATATTTAAACGCAACAAACACAAAGAATAGGAGCCCAACATTGAAAGTTATGGCTGACTTTCAGTATAGTGTGTTGGAAAACTAGGACTACACATCGGCCTGAATAATCCCCAAAATTGCAGTCAGTGATTTTAGATAAAAGCAAATGGATGGATCAGTATGGCCTAGTCAAAGTCCAGACCAGTTTTCTGCAACCTCTACATTCCAAAGAACCTTTTTTACCCTCAGTCAAGACAAAACGTAATTAAAAATGGAAAAGGCAATTTATAATTTCTGGTATCTACTATATGAAAAGTGTTATTTTTAAATAACCATCTTTTTATGTCTGTTTTTTTAATTTTAAAATAAAGAAAGCATAACACTTTTGCAAGAAAGAGGTTGCATACATTTCATTGTCTTCTATGGGATGTTGAGATTTCCAGAAAATATAAGTCACACATTTACCAACTTAATGACAAGAAAACATATTTTAAAAGTAATTTTAGTGTCATTTTGTTTTGGAAATTCAATGAAAGTGTTCCATGAAATAAACTATCTTTAGTTATTAAGAGTGATGCAGAACCCTTTTCTAGACCCAAATCAAACTGAGAATCTGTTCCAAAACTTGGAAATTGTTGTTCAGTTTCTCTCTGTTCAGTCTGACTGAACTGAGTTATCCTGCAAAGGTTTGCCAGCAGTAACAGCATTATAATCGGATTCTCCAAAGTATTAACTCAGGGGTACTAAATAAAAATGCTGTTTATCCCCCAATTAGGTGCCTTCCAATGGTAATGAATTGTATTTAGGGGAACAGAGTTGAAGTGTATGGCTTGCCTTTCAGATTTTTGCTTCTAAAATCATATTAATCATGTACTTTTTTTCCTATTACTCTACTTTGTGCTGGTCTGTTCCATGAAATCCTATAGATATTTATTGACCTTGGCAGTTGAAATGTGTCCGAAATTTAAAGAAAAAAAAAACTATCCAAGGGGTTATTGATGCAAAAGCACCGTCTACAGAGTAGTTTGTGCTCTGGAGTCAGCTTTTTCTTTTCCTGTTGCAGTGGTGAACAATGTGTGTTTTGCTCTGTTTGTGTGTGCTGTTCCTCCTGACATATCACAGGCTCGTCAGAGACCCTTTTTCTAAGCTGTAACCTTGCCGGCACCAGGCTCGCCCGCTGGATCTCCGTAAGCGAGGGCCGTGTTTATGAGTTTGTGGAGGATCGGTGTTAACGTTTTAGCATGTTGGACCGGTCTCCATCAACATGTGAGCAACTCTGCTGTTGTCGTCATATTGATGTTCTGTCTGGAATGCTGCAAAACAGTAATAAGAGAAAACATTTCCTTTAATTTATTGATGCATATTTGCTGCATTTTTGGACTTAGCTGTGTCATAAAAGCAGAGATTATTTTACCAAGAAGCACTGGTGGTATTGTCCCTCTTTTATCTTGTGTCTGTTACTATTACAGTGTTATTACTATTTACGTTTTTGGTTTAAAGTGTAGCAGAGACTGAAAAATATGCAAACAGCTAAAGAAAATATTAAATCTGTATGTTGACATCTAAATATATATATGTGGATCTGGTATAAATGGAAGAATGTGCATGTTTTTGTTGCTTTATTTTGGTGAATACTGTGATCATTTTCTTTTGAATGATTTGAATTCACATGTGTTTCATATTGGAAAGCAATTTTTGGTGTTAGCTCAAAAGAGTAGTGTGGCTGTAAGTTCAATGTTAGTCCAGTTTAAGAAATTGAAAGCTTAGTCACAGCTGATACTTCATTAAAACGTTAGGAATTGAGTTAAAAAAAATTGACTGCAATTTTTAAAATACATTTTTAACTTATTCAAATTTAGTGTCACTTTAACTAACTAAACCAGAAGATACTTGAACCAATTAACTTGAACATACATACACCATTAAAACATGGCTTTTTGAACTATTAAGTTGATTTCAGGATTTTTGAAACTCATCTTCTCATATCTGTCTCATAAATGTCTAGCTGCTGAGCACTGTGTGCTAACAAGTGTGTGCCCCTATTACTGTCTGTCAAAAAATCTCCTTTTAATGGTGTTTTAACTTGCTGCTGACAGAGGACTCTTTGGTGCGCTATCTGTGCCTCTAGGCCTGCACGTCTGACACAATACCATTAATATTTGGCAACCTTTGCCTTCTGTTTATCCCTTCACAGATTTTTTTTAAATGGATGATATATGAAGTACTCAAAAGAAAATATGGTTTTTGAAGCTGAAATGTCTAGCTGCTTCACTTGCTATTGGTTGGTTTTGGAAATCAGCCAAACCGAACCACTGATTGGCTGATCCCCCAATATAGCACAGATATGGAAGCCCATGGATGTCGGCTTCCATCATGATGCCAAGATGGTTTTCTCTGTGCATATTAATAAATATTAAGGTATATTTTGTGTTTGAACTGTTAAAATAGGCAGTTAAAAGTGTTTTTAGAGGGAGTATTAAAGGAGACCTATGCAAAATTCACATTTTGCATGTTTGCGTACTTCCATTTGGGTAACAACTGCTTCTAAAAGCAGCCCAAGCACTTAAAAAAAAAAACACCCAGCCATCTTTTGGCAATAAGTTAATGTTTTATGGTGTCTGGAAAACGAGCCATTTCAAAAACCTTCCAAATGTAACATCTCGAATCAGCATGGTCTGCGCTGTCACCTTACAACTCCAGCGAAGCCCAGCTTGTCACCTAGAAACCCAAGCTGAGCTCCAGCATATTTGCTCAGCTGGTTTTACTGCTGTGTGCACTGTACAATGGCTGCTGGAAAAGACAAGAGTTTTGTTGTTGACTTATCATCCAGAAACCACTTGCTGCATCCTTGTTGGTTGTGCAGGAGGCTCTTCTTCTGCTTTTCATAGATGCATGAATTATAGTTGTATAATTGCACATGTCTTTGCAGCCATTTTCATGTGCAAGTGCAAACTTTGAGTTGGGGGTTCTGACCAGCAGTAGATTGTTTGGATTTAAAGTGAAAAGTTCATTCTGAAGGGAGATCAAAATAAAGCTCATAGACCTATCCTAACCTGTTCAAGGAAGCGTATTAGGTCACCTTTAAGTGTTTGTGGATTTTAATTGTGGTCCCTAACCCCTGCGAACACTGCATGCTGTGTGCATAATGGGGAGCCTTGAGCTCTAAAATGAACTAAGAGAAAAAGCTTTTATAAAGAAAATGTTTAAAAGTGTAATCAACAACAAACCTTGGCAGCTGTCCATGCAGGTGTAATCTAGGGCAGCCCGAAATGATGCTGCTGCTGCTGTGTGAGTTAATCTTGTCAGAGTAAGTCCTGATTCTAGTTAGTGAGCTTAGCAGGCTCAAAACATCAAAGCACCAACATCAGAGAGGAATGTAGTTATTTATACGTGAGACTTTCCAGTGCAGGTAAGGAAAGGCTCTGCTCATCACACCACCAGCTACACACCTCCACAGATGGAGGGTCAAATGTGTGGGTAGGTATAGGTTATAAACTCTGACTCTCTGCTATAACTCTCCAATTACCTGGAAATGGTGAGCATTCATTTGAAATTCTCTCCAGACTCTACACTCTCATTTAACATGAAAAGAAAGTTCTAATAGCACACAGAAAAAAATAATTCACAGCAGCTCAATCAAATGTTCAAGACTAGAAGGTAAATACTTAATTAACCTACGATGTTAACTTGAACACAGATTATTGTTGGAACTCTTTGATGAATTCAAAACAGTTAAAATAAATGAAAGTAAATGATCACACAAGGCAGAATGTTTCTTCTATTCTGTGATGTTGCTTCTGATCCCATCGAATGGATCAGATCAGTTGAGCGAAGCTTTGTTAGCATGGTGGTAGCTTGGAAAAGTTGTGTTGGAAATGTCCATAATAACTACAAAATTTTTTTCAGGCTGGTAGCAATATAGCTTCATTCAATACCAGTTTAATTAGTCAGTTAAAAAATAAAACATTTAACTAAATAGATCTGATTCACATACACAAAATGTTGCGTCTGCGACATATAAATGTAGCGCCAAACAAATTTTGTGTTATAAGCATGTCGATAGGCCAGGTTGTTTTTGATGTATCGCATTTTTCAGTACATAATAATCAACATCGACCACCTTGGGCTGAATGTTCAATGGTCTGTATTGTATAGACTCTATACAATATATGAATGCACCCTAGTGATCAAAAATAATTAGTAGCTGAATCAATGGGAAAATAAGCCCAACTGCCCTGCCAAGTCAGCCTCTTTTAGCATTTACTATGCCGAGTTGTGTCACCACTAGTTCATTATTATGAAATCTGTTTAGCATATTTGCAAAGTTTATAGAAGTGATGCCTGTAGATGGCATGTATTGCATCCCAAAGATGTGACGCTCATGAAACTAAATTTTTTAATGTCTGAAGAATGGATGGTACCCTTTCTTACCTGAAGATCAATTTAAGTAGGAAACAGTATTCTTACATATTCTGTCTTCGTAGACCTCTGAATCAGGCAAGAATAGGAACTGATTTTGAACTTCTAACCTAATTACCATTAATTATCAATGTCAAAACTCATTTACCACAAGTGCCTGAACTGAGTTCAAAGTCAGCAGAAAATATCTTTTGACTTATACATGTTCCATTTTTTCGGCAAAGCCGAATCTGTTGGCAGTTATTATTAATTCCAGTTAATGGGATTTTACACTGAAATCAAAACGATGCCATATAAAACGCTTGTTACCAACCATTAAGTTCTGCTGAAACTTATATTGAAAAACTATCTTTTTTTTTTTTGTTCTGTTTGTGAAATAGACCAAAGTGTGTTTTAGTCAGTGGTAATAAAATTTGCATCATTTGAAGCAGTAATGATTTCTTAATTGGATGCGTGATTCTGTGCAACCAGTAGAACCCACCTGGTGCATCTCAGCTCATTAATTTTAGCCAGCATATCAAATCTTTGCCGTTTTTATGTTGGGGTCGCTAATATCACTTCACACAAATCATTTTCCTGAACTTAGAAAATAAAAAACGAGACAACTTTTTAAAGAGTTGTCTGTGCAGTAACAGCATTCTTCTTTTATGATTACTCTCTTTTTTTCTTATTCATGTAGTATTTCATTACTCAGGTATGTTTATTTCTACTCAGGCCGAGTTGCATGAGTCCTACATGAACACAAGCATTTAATACAAATTTTGATCATTCCTACATATTGAAGCCAGTGGTGCGGTGTTTCCTTTCTGAAATTTAAAATATGATTTTGATGTTATAAAGTAATATATCTGTGCTGTAGTGCAGCTGTAACTGTTATAAATTGTATTTTTCATGTACGGAGTCAACTGTATAGTGTATTATCTTTCAAATTGCTGTTTGTGCCTTTATAAATGATTGTTGACCATTTGAAGCCATTGAAAGCTTCTGTAGTGTCTTTCAGACTTGTTGATGTTATATTAAACTCTACAGGTGCATGAAATAAATATTACTACAAACAAAATGTATGCATGTGTGCAATATGACAGCTTTGGATCACACTGTTGCAAGAACTCTCAGCGGATGGATTGAACTGGGAAGGTCCACTCAGGTTGGGTCTAGAGTAAAATGCTGACATGTTCAATAAATATGTTTCCTACTGTAGGTTTGCTTTGCGAAAATCTAACTGCTTTTGTAAAAATATTTTTATTTTGCAGTATTCACACCTTAAAAGACTAGAACTTTAGTTTTAGCATTTTCCAAATCTCCTTCCATGGGTCCATATGAGGTCATTTCTTCTTAAAAACAAATTTGATCCTAATTTTATCTGCACAAACTAATTTTCCCAGTTTATCCGTCATTCATTAATGACATCTGACAGTACTATATGCTAAA